TTTCTCATTTTCGTACCTTTTCCCATCTCCAGCCAGGTTCTCTCTAGCCTTTGCTATACCCAAAGCCTAGCTTTTTACTGTTTCCAACTGTCTTGGTTACTTTTCTCTCATTGCTGAGACAAAATACCCAATGCCCAATACCAAGAAAGGAAAGGTTTACTTAGCTCACAGTTTGTGGCGGTTTCAGCCCATACTCAGCTGGCTGCAAGGCAGAGTGGCATATGGCAGAGGGCAACAGTTTGTGGTGGCAGAAGACAGCAAAAACAAAAGAGCAAAAAGGAAAGAGAGGTGGCAAGTAACCTCTTTCCCTCCCTTACATTATATGCAAGCTATTGGCCGCAGGGCAGATGTAGCACTCATACCCATAATTCCAACATCGGACCATAAATCAACCATAAATCTAGAAGCCCACCCCATGACTGCATGAGGATTTGGGAGGACATGCAGACACAAACCATAACACCAACCCATCCATCAAAGGGGTCAGTGCCACCCCTGCTCAGTCAGGATCCCCCCGTCTCAACAGGGGAGCAGCTCCCCAAGAGGGTCTCGTTCAGCTCCATGCAGATGTCACCATACACACACCCTCCACAGGCGCTGGAGCTGAGAGGGACCTGTCATCAGCAACCGCAAGACCTGCCAGACTTAGGGCTCTGAAGAGAGGATTGAGGGTTTTGTCTTGAAGTCTTGAAACATGGCTGGGAAGAGCGGGCATTTCCGTTTCATATGGGCGCCCTAACAAAGTGCTGCAAACCAAGTGGCTGAAAAGGACAGGAATTTATCATCTCTCAGTTCTGGAGACCAGAAATCCAAAACCAAAGGGTCTACAGGTGACAGAGAAGGAAGATCATAGAGAAGGAAGTTCCAAGCCCTCACTCAGCACCTGGAAGGCTCGGGTTCCTTCGGCTTGTGGATGCCTCTCCTCAGTTCTCCTCAAACGGCGTTCACCTTGTGTGTCTTCATATCATTGTCCCTCTGTGTCCAAATTTCTCCTATCATAAGGACACAGCCATATTGGATTGGGACTCACCCAAATGACTTTGTTTTAACATGATTGCCTCTGCAAAGACCCTATTTCCAAATAAGGTCATTTCTGCAGTACTGGTGTCAATACTTCAGCATATCATTCTGGGAGGACATAATTCAACCCATAACAATAGGTTTCCTCCTGGCAGTCTGGACATAAGAGATGCATCAGATAGGAGGCTAGGTTAGTGTGCCCCTTCCTATGGAGAAGTAGACAAGGTACTGATATTGGAACAGCTTTGCTGGTGTCTAGGCATGGATTTTCAAAATCCTCTATCTCCCCCCCTCATGATGTATTTTAGCCACCTCTGCTACTGGGTGGGACAACAGAGCCCTGAAATGAGTCCTACATCTGTTACCTTATGTGGAGTGGAGCTAGAATTCCAATCCAGCTCTGACTCCAAAAATGTGCTTCTCCCACTCACAGCTGTTTCTTACCTGGGACTTGCTAGGGAAGGGTTGGTCTCCATGTGCTATTCTGTGCTCAAGTTAATGTGTTGTTCCATGTGATACCAATTTTGAAAAGTGCTTTCAAGGGAGAATGCCTTAGCTTAAATTATCCCAGTAGTAGGTAGTTTGGGACCTGTTCCAGGGACAGTAAACAAGGCATTTAGAGACTGGGGGTGGGGGTACTCTTCCTGGAAATCCCCAGTCCTGCTATGGAACCAGCTGGCAGCTCTCACCTAACTCTGCCTGCAGCAGCAAAAGATCCATGGTTCCTTGTGCATGGGTGAGGCCGTAGCCCATTTCTGGTCTCCATCAGCCCCTCCAAAAGCTGCTCCTGAATGAATATATAAACCAAGAAGACTACGGTTGTATTCTATGCGAATTCAGCTTCCAAGAGCCTCCCTTCCCCTCCCTCCAGTCAGATGGCAACCCTGGTGTCCTCCTGGGCAGAAAACCCTGGCTTGATACCCTGGGCAGGGTATCATGGAGCCAGCACAGGCCCAGAAGTTCTCTTCTCTGCTGTGCATAAAACAAGAACTTCAGCCCCCTCTCCCTGCCCTGGGATGAGCAAGTCCTGCCCGTCACCCAGCAGCCCTCCTGCCTCCTCCTCCCTCTGGTCAGAAAGGCCCTTCCTTTCTCCACCACCTGCAGCCCAGCTGCTGGCTGCTCATCTCTTGGAAGTCCTCCTTAAATATCATTTAAACTTAATGGGAAAACATTTGGCTTTTTCCTCAGACACTGTGAGAACAGCAGTGCCATCCAGCCACATTTCATGACCCACAGCAGGTTGGGGTCTATGGGTCAGGACCAGACAGCAAGCTATGGACTCCACCTCTGGAGAGCTTCCCATCCACACTGCGGATTGAGATGTCTTCTGAGGAGGCAGGGGCTTGGCTTCATATCACCTTCCTTTGAATCAATCATATCACCTTCCTTTGAGTCAATTATCAGTGAGAGATAATTCAACAGACATTTGTGTGGAAACTGCTTAATGAAGGTGTAAACCACAGTGAGAAGGGATTCCATGCTGAGGCATCATAATCCATGTCACTGAAGAGTTGACAATCTAGAGTAAGATTTCTAGTCCTCAACCATTTGGCCTTCCATGAATTTCACCAACCTGAGTACTATTAAATGAGCACTTTTATTTTAGTCAACTCATTTTAACTCCTTGTTTTCACAAAGTAAATATTAAAATAAACTCATAACTATTAAAAATTTTAAGTTGTCATATATTAATCTTCCCAAATCATCTTTAAGGGTCCAGTAGTATGCTTGGATGACACAGATCTGGTGGGCTGGGCAGATCCAGTAATGGCTGAGCAGGAGGGGTATAATTGGCACTGTAACAGCACACATTACAATTAGTGACCACTCTCTGTGGCCCAGGGACCAGCTGCATAATGTGACATTCATGCAGTCCTATAACCACCATGATGACCCGCGAGGCCTGTAAACAACAGGCTGTGGGAAAATAGAGATGCTTGTAAGGAAAAGTTGACCTTCAATGTTTATAAAAGTACTTGGTCTATTGACAAAAGTAGTTGAGAAAAGACAAGTGCAGAGATGTGTCCAAAAGAGTAGATTGAGACCAAATTTTAGGAAGCCTTCTTGCCCCATTAAGGGGTTTTGATTAGACTCTAGGAGTTATGAAGAATCACCAGAGGTGCTTAAACTGTGGAATGAAATGAGCACATAATGTGCTCTGAGGGTGGAGTGCAGAGATCAAAGACCTCAGCACCAGGGAGACTAAAAGGTCACATTTGTAACCAGAACCTGTCAGGCAGTAGGAATGAAGGAAAGGGACAGATAAAAGCATTGCGCACTAGGTGAGACAGGTGGGACTTGGTGATAGCAGAAAGCAAAGACAGAAGGTGGGCACCCCAGGGTGATCCTGGATCTTCTGACTTATGTGATGCTGCACTGAGATGAAATAGCAGTGGAGAGTGAGCTTATGAACTGACACAAATGTGACCGGGTTTAGCTACACTAGAAGTTGAAGTGCCTTGAAGTTTTGAGGAAAGGTGGCCACAGGCAGCTGGGAACAAGATCTGAACTCCAAGGACAGAGTGGGGTCGAGGGGGCCTGATCTAGGGTTCATCAGGAAAGCTGGTGTTTATGGGGCCAAGGACCCCAGCTGGAAAGGAGAACTGGAAACACAAGAGACAAGATGAAAGGAGAAGGGGTAGCGGGATGCTGAGAGGGAGGTGCAGGCGGCCAGGTGGGGAGGGGTGGGGGAGGAGGGCCCCCTCAGGGATCAGCAGGTTCCAGAACTGAGGTCCGGCGTCCCGAGTCTCCAAGGGGCATGGCCAATGTCATGCAGTCAGTGAGGAGCGAAGCCGTGACCTGATCCCAGTCTGATGAAATCGAGGTTAGGGCTTGATGGTTTAGACAGTCTTTCTCACCCACACTCACCACTCCAGGGGCATCTTGCTCCTCCTGTTTCCACATTCAAGGATACCTCCTGTTCTTCCTCATTTGTTACAGTTTTGGGTCTCTGACAAATTGCTACAGTGAAGCTAGACATGCTGGTACATGCCTGCCATCCCAGCACTCTGGGAGGCTGAGGCAGGATAATAAATTTGAGCCCATCCTGGGCAACTTAGCAAGACCCTCTCTCAAAATAAACATTTAAAATGGCTGGGGAAGCAGCTGTATGTGAAGGTTTGTATTCAGTCTATAGTACTAAAAAAAAAAAATTACTGCAATGCTCATGTTATTTTGAGCTCTAGGAAAAAAGAAAAGACTTCATCTAGCAGGAATAATTCAAAGATGTGAAGGGAGGCTAAAGGGGCAGCTGCCCTTCAGGGTCCCAGTTTGCCTCCTCTCCTGAGACTGTCATGTTATCTGGGGGAGCGATGTTGTGGCAGCTGAGACCCCTATCTTAGTCTTATCACCCCATTGTCAGCCTGAGGGTGAGGGGAAAAACCATACCCAATTTGCTGGGTTTTAATGTGTACAGTAGATATGCACGAACATCACAACTGTCAATTTTAGAAATTTTCATTACCTCAAAAGACGCCCTGTAGCTTTTAGCTACCATCCCCCAAACTGCCCCCACCCTGCACCAAGCCGCTAATCTACATTTTGTCTCAATGGAGTTCTCTACTCTGGACTTACATATAAATGGAGTCATGTAATGTGTGATCTTGTATGATTGGATTTTTAACTTAGCAAAATGTTTTCAAGGTTTGTCCATATTTATCAATACTTCCTTCCTTTTGTGGCCAAGTAATATTCCACAGTATGGATATACCATATGCTGTTTATCCATGTGTCCATCATGGACTTGTGGGCTATACTGCTATGAGCCTTCATCTTCAGTTTTGTGTGGATTATTTGTCTGAGAGTGACAAGAATACTTCTCTTGTGTTTTCAGCAGAACACAGCAAAGTTAAGGGTCCATTCGGTTCCCCTGAAGCCTCTGACGGTGCTTAGCTGTGAGTTGTGCCTTCCTCAGACTTGACAAAATAATCTTCCATCTCGTTTCTTGTTCACTATGACTGTGCTTTTCTCCCATACTTTAGGAACTGATGAAACAGCCATCATTGAAATCCTGTCAAGCAGGACATCAGATGAGAGGCAACAAATAAAGCAGAAGTACAAGACAAAGTACGGCAAGGTGACTGTGGGCGCCAGGTGGAGGCTGGACCCTGTCCCAGGCAGGGAGGACATCTGAAAGCTTTGGTGAATTAGCCCAAGAGGAACAATGAAATAACCGTTTAAAACTTTAATTAACTTTAGAAAAACTGAAATTGCTTTGTTAACTTAATAGCCTGTAAAGCCAATAATCTAACTCATTATTTTTCAAATTGATTTCATTTTTTTTGTGAAGTATTTGGTCATTTTTTCCATTCAATTTGGACTAATTCCACATAACTTGTGGATGGGCCAGTGCTATGAAAGTCAGTTTTTACTGGTGGGTTTTGATGTAGGAATTTTTCATTTATTCAACATCCTTAAAGTAATATATTCTACCTAGGTTAATGTTACCAAAAATTTAAAAGGAAAAAAAAGCCATTTCCTAAAGCATCAAGTCTTCTTTCTTTACATTTTCTTCCTTTTTATTCTCGTAATTGTTGATGAGGCTGTTATATATAAAAATCTTTAAGTATGCATTAGGCTTTCTTGTTTCCTTTTTAATATATAATGAACACAGCTTAACCTTTTCTTAATGTCACTGGAATTATCATTATGCAAAGTGAATATCAATCATTGTGCTGTATTCTCAGCCATATTTATGAAACCCTCACAGTCTCAGTCACTATAAGTAGATCTATGTAAAGAGAGAGAAAGATGGGTTTCCTACTTGATGTTTGTCTTAGTTACTTTCTTGTCGCTGGGACACAAAGCCTGATACCCACAAGATAAAGGAGAAAAGGTTTATTTGGCTCGCAGTTAGTAGATCTGGTTCCAAAGCAGAACAGCACAGCAGAGGAGAAACCGTTCGTGGCAGGGCAGGCAGGGAGCAGCAAGCCTGGCTCCATTTCCCTTTCATTCATCAAGGCAACAAGCCTGTTGGTTGGTTCCACCCATGCACAGAGTGGGCCCTCCATCATCCACAGCCAGAATGGTGCTAAAGCCAATCACTGGACTGATCCAGTTATCGCACCCTTGAACCAGCCACTCCCCAAAACCCCACCTGAGAGCCCCTGAGGCTTTGTGGGGGATATCTAGTATAAGCATGACAACACTGGCCAGGAGAAAGTCGCTTCAGGCTTTGATCTCACTTAAAATAAAGGAGGCACTTACCTTCTACTCAAGTCTCTGGGAGAATATGTCAGCATGTACCATAAAATCAAGGGTAGGTGATAGGTGTGATGGCTTCCATTTTACACATAAGAAAGGTAACGCTCATATGTTTAAATGACTTATGTGAAATCACACACGTCGGGGGGGCAAGGCGATAGGGAGTGAGGGAGAGCGAGGCATGGTGGTACACATTTCTCATCCCAGTCACTCTGGGAGGCTGAAGCAGAAGGATCCCAAGTTAAGCCCAGTCTGGACAATTTAATGACTTGGCGAGACCCTGTCTCAATATTTAAAAAGAAAAAGGAGCCAGGCAAGTAGCACAGTGCGAAAGCCCTAAATTCAATCCCCAGTATCACAGAAAGAAAAGGGGAGGGGAAGGGAAGAAGGGAAGACGCGAAGAAGGGAGAGAGGGAGGGAGGGAAGGAGAAAGGAAGGAAAGAAGGAAGGAAGGAAGGAAGGAAGGAAGGAAGGAAGGAAGGAAGGAAGGAAGGAAGTGAAAGAAGAGAACAAAGAAGTCTTCTGACTTCAAGGCCATTCCTACAGAACCCAGTGGCATGAGCAGAACTTTTTATTTATGTTTATACTAAATGGCCCAGATGGCTGCACTTTATAGTTTTTATTCATCTCTCTTCACAACCAGGGTTGTCAATACCACTTTTATAAAAATCAGTGAGTCTGTGGTTTAAGTGCATTGAACTCAATTGGACGACCTTGAACTTTCATCCTTGTCCACGCCTAACTTAGCAGCCCCCAGGCCACTTCTCTACCAGCGTGGAAGGTCAGGAGCTGCTGCAGTCAGAAATATGAGTAAACGAAAGCCTAGGGCGGTTCTGCTAAAAATGAAGTGGGCATGTTGTAGCACCAACCCTGTGATACCTTCACTGGCTAGACATTTGCCCTCTCTCCTGTTCTCAGCTGTGTTTCAGAGAGCTGAGAACACCAAAGAGATATGCCTAACGGTGGAGGATGTCAGAGGTGTCAAACCTAAGTCCCCGTGTCAGCTGAGCCAGAGCCTGTAAGAGACTAACTAACTATCCAAGGCAGCCAGCCAGTCAGCAGCAGAGCCAGGATGACAGCCGAGCTGCCCTGCGCCCGCTTCTCTGACCCAGCAGAATTAAACACACAAGATTTCTTTTCATGGTTTGGGCTTATTAGAGTAGGCAATAGGATTTCTCTTCCCTGTGGGTCTACATAATTCCATCTGACCTGGAAAAGCAGCTCCAGTTTGCAGGTGGATTCACACACCTTCTCAAGGTCCACCTCAGATGGAGACCTCTCTTAAAACAGCAGACCCCAGGACCTCACACAAAATCGGCTGCCAGCCTCAGAGCTCAGAGGCTCGATTGAGAAACAGCTGATTTGCCTCCTTTCAGAAAATTCCTGTCATCATGGAATAACAATGATAAAATTGTCCTATAATATGTATAACAATTAGCACTTACTGAGCACTAAAATGTACCAGGCACTCTACTTGATGTTTGCACAGCTTCTACCACTTAATTCTCCCAACAGCCCCAGAAGTCATGTTATTCTTTTCATTTTTAGGTGGGAAAACTGGTCATGGAGAAATTAAGTTTTCCAAAGTGGCAATGCTTCTGTCACTGTGCTTGAGCCAGCATGCCTAGCACTGAGGAACCAGCCCAGCCCTGCTGTAACTGTGGTCCCAAGGCCCAGGCTGGTCTGCCAGCCTCCAATCTGGCCCACCTTGGGCTGGCACTCTGCAGAAGGTCCTTCACCAAAGTCAGGGGATTGACTGATCAGGCTGAGCTCCCCTTCTGGAAGTTTCCTTATGAAAGTAGCTCTTCAGAGGGAGGCAGGGAGGAGAAGGCAGTCAGCTGACTTTTGAAAAGAGGGCGCCCCACAAAAAGATGAAGATGGGAGCTGCTGAGAACAGGGCCCCAGGGAGGTTTCTAGGCTTCTTCCTGCTCGAATTCTGTGTCCCTTTGAGGAGTTAAGAAGACAATCGACTGACTATGGACCTGTTTTACCAAGAGAGCTCCTGATTATTTTATTGCCCCTGCAACAAACACAACTGTTGATAGTGGCCCCTTTCACCCTCAAAACGATCAGACCCACTTAGAAAGTTGCATCTATAGTTTAGTCTTTGCTAGCTGAATGTGTAGGGACAAATCCTTCATCCTGAAGTTCACTACAGGGAAATAATGCCAGTAACTCTCAAGCCAGCTTTTCCAGGTTGTTTTGAGGATTTGCTGAGAAAAGCTTTCAGAGTCCTAAACTGTTCTACAAGTTCTATGGTCACTGTGATTCTCCTTCAAGGTCTTTAGCTCCAAGAAGGAAGTCTCTTGCTTTTCTGCCAGCCCTGGGGGGATGGATGAGAAGTCATAGTGACCTCTGTCCTCAAGCAGGTCACTCTTGTTGGGACACCTCCACATGTCCTGGGACAAGTGTTCTGCCCACCCTGAACCCATGCAGCAGGGCAGGTGGACACCTGTCCTTCTCCTCCTGGGCCATTCCCACTCAGGTCTCGGTGCTTCCCGCAGGACCTGGAGGAGGTGCTCAAGAGTGAGCTGAGTGGAAACTTCGAGAAGACAGCCTTGGCCCTCCTGGACCGCCCCAGCGAGTACGCTGCTCGGCAGCTGCAGAAGGCCATGAAGGGCATGGGCACAGATGAAGCCGTGCTTATCGAGATCTTATGCTCAAGAACCAATAAGGTCAGTCCCACGCAGGCAAGCCCCCAGCCCCTAGGAGAGTCTACGTGCCCATCACGGATGGCTTCAGCCCCTGGAGGGAAGCCACTCCCCCACGTTCTGTCATTGGCTGAGCAAGAATCTGGGCAGAGATGCCATGCAGGAGGGATACGACATGCAGGAGCCCCAGACTTCCTGACTGCAGCCCTAGTGTTGCTGCCCCTGGCTTGACAGAGTAGATCCTTCCAGAAAAGCTATGTCAGCTCAGTTTTTTTTCTAATAGGCACACATTTTTCTGTGTAGGAGACACAGTTCTGTTTTACCATTCCCTGCCTGACTTTTTAGGTCTCCTGGCACAAGTAAGCAATCAGTAGCCCATGTTTGTGTCACTGCGTAGGCTATGGCTGTTATCTAACGTAAAGCACACAAAAAGCTCTAACTAATCAGGAAGGTGGTGGTGCCCAGGATCCCAGCACCAACCCGAAGGATTCTGCAGGTCTTTCAGCCCACCTCCCCCAGGCCCTTGGGCATGTGCCACCATTCTGGGAACAGAAAGAGCATTTGGTAAGACCCCAGCAGGAGCTCATTTGTCTTCGGCTCCAGAATCCAAGAGGGCCAAAGAGTCCATCAAGAGTAAAGATGGTGCACAAATCAAAAGTAGGAGTTCCCCCTCTATACCCATCTATGACAGTAGAGTGGGGAGGCCCAGTACAGGAAATGCCAGAGGAACCTGACACTCTGAGGCCTGCCAGGAAGAAACTCCAGCAAGAGTTGGAGTAGACATCAAGGACACTCTGAAGTGTTATTTGAAGCCTAGAGTGCTGGCTTCCTCTCGCTCTGCTAGGCCAGGCACAGGCATAGCCGTTTTCCCAGAGCACCACCCAGATCCACGCTGCGGCTGCAAACACCTCTTCCCTAGGTCCCTGGAATCCTCTTCCTTCTCCATTTCAGAAGGAGTTTGGGTTAGGACAATGCCTCTGAGAAGGCTCAGCGCAGACTCTGGGTCACACACCAGGAGCTGGAGTCTCGCCATCCCTCCTCGTGTCCACTCTCTGAGAAGCACAGAGGCTCCAGCAGCGGGATGTCCAGCTCCTCACATTGTCACCTGCTATCTGCACCACCTGCTCCTGCCCACCACCACCTTCCAGCTTGCACTTAAGCCTGCTGGCAGGAGACACTGCAGGGAAGCACCTGCTCTGCACACCAGGGGTCAGGTGTAACCTGAGGCAGCGCGGAGGTGGGCCACTCAGTGCAAGATGTTGCCATATCAAACAATTCCTCCCAGTGCATGCCCTGGAGAGAGGCCTCTCCCACGGTAGCAAGTTGTTTACTGCATGAAGCCTTGCTCCAAGCAGAGAAAAACTGCAGACAAACAACTTAGCAGCTATAGCTATGAGGCTGCTAAATACACTGTGGCTTGTCATAGGCTGGGACAGTTTGTGTCCCCTTAAGAAACTGTGGGTGACTATCTGGATCTCCAAAACATAGCAGGGTGAGAAAATAAGTCATAGAATGATGACTGTACCCCACTGTCTAAGCACATGAAACACTCACAAAACAATTCTCTACGTTTTCAATAGCCACATACATGTCTATAAAGCAGAGAAAATTACCTGTGAGATACACTCTGAACTTCTAACACTAGCAATATGGTAAGGATGGGAGAGTGAGACGGGGTGAAGAGATGGTAAGAGAAGGTGCAAGCTGTAATATTTTCAGCTTTTTGCTTTTAACTGCCTAATTATCATATTAGGGAGTATCTTTTGCTGTAATCCTGTATACAGTGTATACTGATCACATTTGAATAGCTAGTGCTTCCATTACCTTGTTGATCATTTCATTTTGATGAGAAAACTCAAAATCCTCCTTCCTCCTGCTTTGGAATGTATGTCATTGTTAAATGTTGTCAGCCCAGTAGATAAGAGAACACTACCACTTACTCCTGAGCTCTGCGACTGTGTGTCTTGTCCTCATCGCTTCTCACCTCATCTCTTCTTCCCCGGCCTTCCCAGCCTCTGGTGACCACCATCCTTCTCTCAGCCTGCGTGACATCAGCTTTGTTAGGGTCCATGAATGGAGAGATCATGAGGTATTTGTCTTTCTGTGCCTGACTCATTGCACCCGACACAATGTCCTCTGGCTCGAGGGCGTGGCAGAAGGTGAAAGGGTGATTTCATTCTTGTTATGGATGAGGAGGGTTCTGTTCTGTATGTGCACCCCATTTTCTTTAACCTTTTTTCTACTGATGGACACCTAGACTGATTCATTTTATCTCCAAGGAGAATGGATGTATATGTCACCTGTGTGTCTGAAAAGCTGGCACAGAAAGGGTCTCTTCACACCCCGGGGTCTTGCTGCAGCCTAGGAATGACCATTTTAGGAGTTTGTCATCATACACCCTGTGTCCAGAGATGCCTCTGCCTCCTCCCTGTGTGTCTGATTGATTCTTCTCACCTTGGACATTGATGTGTTTTCATTGCTTTTCTAGGAAATCAGCGCCATCAAGGAGGCATACCAGAGGTGTAAGTGATCTTTTGCTCTGCCTATGAAGAAAGCATGTTCCTTTCAAAACACTTCTGGGAACTGAATCATCTTGCTTTCTCCTCTTTTTCTTCCTCAAAAGTATTTAACAAGAGCCTTGAATCAGATGTCAAAGGTGACACAAGTGGGAACCTGAGAAAGATTCTGGTGTCCCTGCTGCAGGTAAGAGCACGCAGGTCTTGACCATTGTATGATCTTAGAAAATAATCCTTGGCAACGTGGCATGTGATGAAAAAGGCAATGCAGATCAACGTGTCATTCTTTTACCGAGTGGGAAGTCATGCGAGGGGGATTTCTCCTCTGCTAGCCACCTGCCCTGTCCTTTGCAGCTTACACTCTCCCCTGGTTAATGAATTTGCTCAGTAAGCAAAGCCACTCTGATTGGCCAAGGAGGAGACTCAGCCTCAAGAGGTGGTAACTCAGCCCCAGTGACAGCCAGTGAGACACAGTCCAGCAGCAAGACTCAGGCCTTCTGACTACAAGAGGGGCCCTTCACAAAAGTGCAGCTCAGCCCCTACCTTCCGGACTCACCCCAAGTCTAGACCTATAGGAACCGTTGCCAGGAACTGCTAGGGTACAGGGCTTTTACAGTTGGCCTGCTGGGATGCAGCCCTGGGCCTCACACAGACAACATCTGTGCCCTTGCCAACATGCCAGCTTCATAGGCCTGTCCTATCTCTCCCACTGTGGACAGAGTGTCAGCCAAAAGCAAAAGTGAGCGGGCGTTGCCTGCAGCAGAAAAGGTTTTCTTCCTACTGTTTAAAAAACGTCACAGACTCGCAGCCCAAAGCAGCAGAGCTCTGCGATCTCAGTGCCCACGGTCAGGAGATCTGGTACAAATGAGCCGAGCCCTTCGCTGAGGGTCTCTCCGGCTGAAATCAGCCTGTGCTGCCATTTGCCTGGAGGCTGAGGAGAATTACTCTCCTGGCGGCCTTGTTTTCTTGCCAACCGGAGACCACCACCAGCTGCTAGAGATCATCGCTGCTTCCTGCCATGTGGATCCTGTGTTCCTCTTCCAGTGCTCTGGGATTAACTATCTCAAATCCATTTTGGAATGAGAACAGGGAGAAATACAGTGGGGTGAGGGGGTAGTTATGTAGTTCAGGCTGGCTTTGAATTCACTATGAAGCCCAGGCTGGCTTCAAACTCACAGTGATCCTCCTGCCTCAGTCACCCAAGTGCTGGGATTACAGGGGTGTACCACCATGCATGTAATATAATATATATTATAATATAATATAAATGGCCATCTGGCCTCCTCCAAGCCAGCAGGAACTCATCACTCTGACTTCTTCTATCTTTGACCTTCAAGATCTGTCACCTGATCGGGTCAGGCCCACCAAAGATCATCTCCCTTTGGATTCATTCCATTGCTTAGGGACCTGCATTACAGCTGCAGGTCTTGCCTAATATTACATATGCACAGCAGTGACTTCGCAAGCTATGCACTCAAGGGAGTAGGTGTGTGTCACTGGGAGTAATCTTCAATCCCACCAACCACACAGGGCTCAGGTTAGACTTGTGCATCTTTCCTTCCCTGACCACTCTCAGAGCTCTTTGGCACAGGAGCTCTGAGAGGAGAAACTGGATATTTTGGAAGGAAGATTATTTGTGATCCTAGGACCAACCTAGGCAGCATCCTAGGTTGCTGTCAACCTGCTCTGAGATCAGTATAAATGACCTCTGTTTCTATTAGGAAAAAAAAAAAAAGACAGCACTCTGGGGGACTGAGTCAGGAAGATTGCAAATCTGAGTCTAGTCCATGCAACTTAGTAACTCAGGGAGACCCTGTTTCAAAAAAAAAAAAAAAAAAACATGCTATAAGGCCTGGAAAAGGAGGTCATGTTCCCAGTAGGAGAGCAAAAGACAGCAGGGAGGGAGAGAAGGAAAGAGAAGGAGGGAGGAAGGGAGGGGGACGGAGAGAGGGAAGAACAGGGAGAGGGGGAGGGAACGGGGGAGGGAGAACCCTGTCCTCACAGAAGCCACACTGTTTACCCTCTGCACCCAAAAGATGGCAGCAAAGAGCAGGCCCTGAAGCGTGGCCAGGCTGAGCTGAGCTCTACGGAGGCCTCCCCTCTAAGGTCACCCTGTACCCAGGGCTCTCTCTGTTTTCTGTAGTCAAGCAAGACCTCGAGTTAGGAACAATGTGTCCCTGTTCTAGGCTGACCGTGATGAAGGGGACGAGGTGGACAAGGAGCTGGCCGGCCAGGACGCCAAAGATCTGTATGATGTAAGTGTACAAAAGGCTCCAGGCTCCACAGCGCCTTTGTTTCTCAATGTCTTAGCATTGTTTTCAACAACTGTTTCTTTATTTTATGCAAATGGGAGTTACTTGAGAGATAAGTGTGGTCTTTAAAAAATAAATATGCTTATAGGTATCTGTTTAGATCATATATAAAGAATTGTTCCTGTTCTCATATCTGGGCTTAACTATCTCAGATCCATTTTGGAATAAGTATGAGTATAAATAATATAAATAGATATGTGAAGTATACTTGTGCATCAGGAGTATAGAAAGCTAGTCAACCCATCTGGCTTCTATTCAGTGTATATTTCACAGCCCCTGTGAGTGAGGCCTGTTCAGAGTGGTCTGTCCACTCAGTCTTCTCACAAAGTCCTTGTCATGCTACTGCCCTTTGCCCTCAGGCAGGAGAAGGCCGCTGGGGCACTGATGAGCTCGCCTTCAATGAAGTCCTGGCCAAAAGGAGCTACAAGCAGTTGCGAGCCACCTTTCTGGCCTATCAACTTGTAAGTATATCCACCCAGCCCTGAGGGCTCCTTGTGAAACTGGCTTCCCAGAGAAGGCCAGGTCTGGGGGATGGACCTGGAAGATCATTTCAACAGTGGTTCTTGGTGTGGGCTGAGGCCCAGGATGCTGCCAGAATCCTACAGTGCTCAGAACAGCCCTGCGGTGAAGAAAAGCCAACCGCAGATGTGGTGCAGTGGCTAGTGACTTGCTTTGCTGGCAGAGAAGACAGAAGCAGAGATGTCAAGTGCTGGAGCCAAAGATGGGACCAAAGCACCATCTTCTTTTGTAAAGCAGGGGCTATAAGCACATCAGCAGATGTTCAGAGAGCTGCAGTAAAAGTTCAGAGAAAGCCTCAGAAAAGAATCTGACATTTGATAAACATGCAAATGTCAGCTCTTGTTTTTATGATTCCAGTTAACAATTGGGCTAGCAGTGCCTACCACTCAGGCCGATACATTATACTTCAGAGATAGGTTCTTGAAAAGACATGAATACACTGTTTTTAATCTCATGATCATTTTCAGCCAGCAAAGCCAGTTAGCTAGTTCAAGATACTTAGTGCTAAGTCCTTCCCTGGAAAGAAATTTTAATTTGCAAAAAGCCATTAGTGGAGTTTCAGATATTCTATCTTTTTCCTTCTTTCTTTCTTTGTTTCTTTCTTGCTTTCTTTCTTTTCTCCATCTTTCTCTTTCTTTTTTTTCTTTCTTCCTCCTATTTTATTTCTGTAGAACGCTTTTACACATTCAAAGCATATCTATGCTCTGTATGTCATTTCATTTTTATAATAGCATAACTATAATGTAGCTGAACAGTTATTGTGGCCCACAACTGCTAGACACAGACAGTCTGCCCATGAGGAACCCTCGATGACTTATCAGGACCACACAGCAAGTCAGTAGCAGAAAGTGCACAAGAACTCCAAGACTCCCTGGCCCAAGTTCCTACCTCTGCCGGAGCTGGCTGCTCCTCACTCAGAATAGCCTTTCCTGTATGTTGCCAGCAGAGGAAAAGCCAACAGAGCTTTGGAATTTTATTGTTTCTGTATGCAAGCCTCAAGGGCCTTGTGAGTTCAAACTGTGAGTCCTGATCAAAGGCAGCTGGCCCTGCACCCCCATGTGGCCTCTGTGCTGGAGGATTCCCCAGGACCCGCTCCTTTTCCCACATGACAAGGACCACAGTTGGAGTCTCTGAATATGGCTGTCATTGGTGGTCACTATGGAAACACACACACACCAGTGTGCAGATGTTTGCATATCGGCACGTGTGTGACCTAGTGGCTGCATACCTGCAAGGACACTCTAAGCCAATACAGTATCTTAAAGTTAATCCTGAGATGACAGCATCAGAATCACTTGAGAAACTGTTAATGAAAATTCTCAGCTCGAATCCTGGACCTACAAAATCAGATGCCTTGGGGCTTGGGTCTTGCCATCTATAAGTTTTGGCAAGTCTCCCTAGTGATCCCAATGCATGCTAAAGTTTAGAAAGCCTGCCCTAGGCTACTAGAGGCATGACCTTGGGCACATTATGAGGGGTTCTTTGCCTCCATTTCCCAACTGCTGAATAGGGTTAATAGTACCTACTTCACAGGATTAGTAAGAATTGAATGAATTAATAGAAGCAAGCACTTAGTACCTGGTGTATAGTAAGCACTTGATAAACACAGGTCAAGCACTAATAACCAGAGCAAGAGCTCAGATGGACAATAAGGCAAATTATGGATCTGACCACTCTTAGTGAAACCAGCTCTAACAATGCTATAAATATCACTGTAATCCAGAAGCCTTGCTCCAATGTCATTCATCTTGATTGCTGTTAACTTTTTAGGAGTTGATCATGCTCTTAAGGCTCTGCATTCTGTAAGTTGTTGATGGTTTCTGTCCAAAAGCACAAAAGTGCTAGTGTGAGATCACTGGACTGTGTTATACAATAGATCATCTCGGTATAGAGGTGAATTTCAAGTTTTGACACCAAGTTCAGGGTTTTTCCCATTATTTGCCCTCCAAGTGTGAGGCTTAATTTCTGATGGTCTCAGCAATCCCGGCCCAAGCAACAGGGCCTCCCCACACTGCTGCATTGTGTAGGATTATCACAGCCCCAAATTCCTCCAGACAGGCACTACCAGCCTTGGGCTCTCACACTTCGGTTACCAGAGATTGAGTGCAGAGGTTCTGCTCTCAGCACACTTGTCAATGTGGAGGTCAATTTAAAGAGAAAGAAAAATCACTGGAGAGCCTGTTAAAAATGAGAATTCTCAGTCTCCCTCCTGGATTTTATAATGTAGAATATTCTCTTATTCTACTAGGATCTCCCTTATTTCTCTAATAACCTCCCTAGAGGCACTGCGGCCTATGCAATTAGAGCCGCGTTTGCAATCTACCTCCTAATGTGTTTTTGTTCTGAGATCAGAAAACTTTGTTCATCCAAATAGTCCCCTAAGAATGAGATGTTCCAGCGACTGAAGTGGAAAGCTTCAAAGGAGGATGCCAACAGCTCAGGCCAGTGCTTTGTTTCCACAGAGTTCCATGAAGGTCACGGAGATGCCTCAGCAGTTACTGGGATGGAGTGAAGCAGGAGGACAGGAGGCCGTGCAGTCTCAGTGGACTGTGTGAAGGGTGCCCCCGGGGTTGTGTCAGGAAGCACTTCTGCAGGCAGAACACAGCTTCGATGCCTAGGGCCAGACAGGAGACCACCTCCTGCCGCCATCGCTGCACAGCAGCTCTGCATGGCTGCTTTTTTCTGTCTTATAGGCTAAGAGTCTATAAAATTTTTTTTTTTAAACACTATTCTGGCCCTAATACCATTTCTATTAACAATAGAAACAGTAAATGGTTTACTGTGACACGTTTTTAGTAAACGCAGACTTGTATAAACAAAGTGAAGTCTTGAAATGCAATCTCAGCTTGCATGACAAGAGCCCTGTGTCTGGGGAAGTGACACCCACCCCTTACAAGATATCACCTCCCACGACGCACCCAGAAAGGTGGGGCAGAAAGGAAGGACAGGGTTGAAATCCACTTCCCCTCTGAGTCTGGTTCCCATCGCCAACACAAAGACATCTAGACAGGAGAGCAATGTCTGGGCCTGCAACAAGGACCTTGGCTACATCCAGACTCTCCCTCCCCCCGTGTTGTCCCTGCATTACAAGAATGCTTGTTTATCTGTGATTTCATAATAAAAAACACAAACGCCACTAGTATGCACTCCAGGGTCCCAATAATCTATAGGATCAATTGTGTTATATTCATAAGAGATAATTTCTAGAAAAAGGCAAAGTGCTCAAACCCAGCAAGGCACCTTCCTTTCTCTTTCTTTGCGTGCCCTGAGCTTGGCCCAGGCACTATTTGTGTTAAAGAGAGTCACAATTTACTCTAACTTTAGCTTCTGTAAATATTTGGAAAGAAACCTAATGTGTAATGCTGTGCAGAGCGCCATGTGAGCCGCTGGTGAATATAAGACCATCTGCACTCACCCCAGAAAGAAGGCAAGCAGCCTTTGGTTGTGGCCAGCCTCTGGCTCCCAGCCCATGCAGCCCACTCAGTCAGGAGCATTAGGTCAGATTCTCATCATGAACCTCACAGCCACTCCATGGTAAGTGGTAGCATCCCCAGTCCCAAGGCAAAAGAGGCCAGGGAGAGGCAGGTGGCACCTTCACACACAAGGCAAGAGACCCCCACAAGGCAAGACGCAGGAGAGGATATCCTAACCACAGCAGCGCTGAATCTGGGAGAGTTCAGTCTTTGTTATAAGAAATTAATCCCAAGAGTGCTAAAAGCCAATCCAGAAATAACCACCTGACTTTGCTTGTCTTCCAGCTCATTGGGAAGGACATGGAAGAAGCCATTGAGGAAGAAACATCAGGAGACTTGCAGAAGGCCTACTTAACTCTCGGTAAAGCAACATTGGGAGAGTCCTTGTGCTGGGCTGGGCTCCCTGAAACCATATTTGGAGACTGAGGTCCGCATGCAGGAGGATTTCAGGGAATAGGTTGGGAAACGGCACATCAGAGCAACATCAGGCAGAGGACAAAGTGAATATGATGCAGGTCCTGTCACACAGGGACCTCTGCTGCTGGGATGTTGCAGGGGATCAGGGGAGCCAGGCCTCCACACCCAGCATCAATCAGTCATTGGGGGCTTGCTGCGCCTGGGGGCATTTGCCACCTTGGGCAAGTCAGCTCTGCCACTTGGAGGCAATTTCTGGGGAGGGACCCAGCTATGAGCGGTCAGCAAGCAACCCTTAGAATAAACGCCTCAGTTCCAAGGAGGGCACCACTGTCCACTACTAAGCAACCCTACTAAGACTGGGGGTCCCTGAAGCATCCATCTGTAGTCCAAGACTAGTATCTAGCCTTGAGTCATAGTATAAGGTTCATTTGACACACACTGAACAGTACCCACATTTAAGGTCCATGAACAAGTCTGTCCAGTGGCTTTAGGGTTTCCTTTCCAATTTGGTTCCCTTCAACATTTGCAAAAAGTGAGATCTGTTTAGAAAGAGAGAGGAGGGAGATGAGGTTTTGAACATGCCAAGCAAACCCCAGCATCTTCTCTCTGGGTGCTGCCCAGAGGCAGGAAATAGCAGAGAGATGGGCAAGCGGCCATGTCTGGCAGGCTTCTTTTCTCTTTCTGCAAGCTCTGGAAGGAAAGCATTGTCTATTGTCCACACTGCTGGGGGGCGGGGGAGTCCATGGCGCCATCCCAGATGGCACAAGAAATGGAGGGGCTCATCCCCCAAAAGAGGAACCCAAACAAGCAGCCCTGGAAGTTAAAAAATGTGCTCACATTGCCAAAACTGTTAGTTTTTTGTTTTTATTTTTTTAACTGTAACAACAACTGACTTTTTTTCCCAGCCATACCTGTATTGCACTCAACTCCATAGGATGTGTGCAGTGATATACAGAGGTGTGAACATCCCTACTGTCATCTTGGCCCACACTGGACACTGGACACACTTGAGCTGTAGCATGGGTGACTGTTTTGGGGACTCTAAGGGAGGGCTAGTGAAGCAGATGGAGGGCTCTATTCACATCTGGCTCTGAGGCTCCAAATGATTGTGTAGAGAGCTGGAAAACACGAGCATGCAGTTGGAAGACAGCAATCCAACCCTTCCGTAACTTAACCTTGGCTCAGCACCTTCTTGGACACAAGGGATGTGCTAGGTACCAGGATCAGAAGCAAAACAGGCCCAGTTCTTGCTCTTAAGGAGCTTAGTGTGCACAGAAGTTGCATTTGACAAATGAGGATACAGTAGAGACAACAAGCAGAATAAAGAGAGGACAGAGGAGAGGGAAGCCAGCTCTTAGGATTGGGAGCCACAAGTTGCTGTTCTCAGTGGTAGCAAAATTAAAAGTAAGAAGGCCTTGAGAATAACCTGCACAGAGTACCTGGCTCCATAACTATTTTTGCTAGACATTCTCCAACCTGCTCCCATTCAACACATAAAGATGTCAGTGTCTAGCTAAAATCTGAAGGCTAGGATGAGACCTTTGAATGACTGCTGCCAGAAGCACCACTTCATAGCTGGGGTCCACAGACCAGCATCAGAATCTCCTGTTACCATAGTTTCCTGGTCCCCATTCCAGATTTCCCACAGAAAAACCTGGAGTGGAACGGAGTGCAGGATGAGATTGTCTTGTAGTCAGTGGAGATTAAGAACCCTGCTTTTTTCCCACTAAGGTACTGGGGATCAGACCTAGGGATGCTCTACCACTGAATGACACCCCCAGCCCTTTTTTCTTTTTGAAATGGTCTTGCTAAGTTCCCCAGACTGTCCTCAAGCTCCATCTTCCTGCCTCAGCCTCCTGAGTAGCTAGGATTATAGACCTGTGCCAGCACACTCTGCCTCCCCTGCTCTTTGAAGGCCATGAGGAGCAAGGGGCAGGGCAAGCAGCTGTCTGCACTTTCCTTCCATGCCTTCCCTCGCTGCCCCCACCTAACCTTTTGATGCTTCCTGCTGCTGCTAACAACAGAAGTTGCTTCCCGGGCATAGATTATCTAAGAATATTTGAAGTTTTCTTCCCACACTATCAGGAAACAGGGGTGTCAAGGGAGAAGCCCCCTATGCACGTAGATCCAGTGCACAATGACTTTGACAGACGGTGGTTAGAGAATCGATCCATGCTGCGTGGGAGAGGAGGACTTTGTAGGTAGCAGTGGTTCCAACTGTCAAGGGACTTCAGTAAGTTTCAAATGTCCTACTCTACCAAGTAGCACGCAGCTTCCCACCACCGCCACCACCATCAACCACAACCCAGGAGCTTTTGGATTGTTCTCAGGATAAAGAAATCAGACACCTGTGTCTGTTTGTTGTTTTTTGGTTGTGGTACGGCTCAACCCAGGGCTTTCACACACCACACTGAACTACATCCCCAGCGGCCTCCTTCTCCTCATCCTCCTTTTTGACAGAGTCTCACTTAGTTGCTAAGTTGTCTGGGATAGGCCTGAACTTTTGGATCTTCTTGCCTCTGGGAGCCACAGTTCCTGTCACATAGAGTCTGTGAAGCTGGGGTGTCCCAGTGAAGCGAGGGAGCCAGATCTCTGCGCCCCAAAGTGCTGAGGTTACAGGTATGCACCTCCATACCTCTACCTGTAGACACCTGTGTCTGGGTTTTTCTTTTCTACTAAAACTCTGCTGGCTTCTCTGTGGCCTATGAGAGGACAGACTGCACGCCTCCTGGACTCTGCTTCCCTAACCCCACTCCTCTCCCTTGCTTGTAAGTGTTGGTCACATAGATAATTACCCAGAAAGCAAGAGCCCCATGATAAGCTATAAGAAGTCTACACATTTTACACTTACACTGAATTTATTACTAGTCACTAACGTTAAAGAGTACAAGTGTTCTAGAGAAATGTGAACAACCCAAAGAGTCAGTGGTTCATTCCGCTTAAGCGTTAGCCCTGATGATGCGCCCGGGTCTGGGAGAAGGGAGGAGAAGCGGAGCTCCAGGCCCAGGGTGGAGAGGCACCTGACTGCCTGGTCTCTAAGCAGGAGCCACACTTTGTGCACTGTGGCTAGAGCCAAACTGCTGGGCAGGGCGGGGCCCCGAAGGAGCACACAGCCACACAGAGAAGAGCGACCTTTGAAGGAACCGGGCGTCACACCCAGCACACATCCCAGAGCTCTAGCTAAGAAGATCGCTAAGGAGCCAGAGGCAGCTACACAGAGCAAACCCGCAAGGAGAGTGGGGACAGGGAGAGAAGGTTTGGGAGGGCGGGACAGCAGGCCACAGTCCAGCGGGGAAATCTTCAAAATGATGAAGGTGCTGGCCATGCTGTTCCCTTGGAGCCCTGCGCCCCTGCGGTAGGAACAGTCATCACTGTGAGCCAGGGGCCCCTCTGTTCAGACCTTCTGAAGTGGTTTTGACCTGGCTCTGGCTGAAGAGCCCAGGTGTCCTGACAAGGGGAATCTTCCAGATCTCACTTCTGCACGGTGGGGTGTCAGTTCTGTCAGATTCTGCCTTATAAGCCAGGGAACCCCAAAGGTGACCAGGGCCACTCTGGGCTGCACTGGACCCCAGAACATCCTCCCCGTATTCAACATGAGTGCCTGGCATGCTTCTCTCCTCGTCCCCAGTGAGATGCGCCCGAGACCTCGAGGGCTACTTTGCCGACCGTCTGTACAAGGCCATGAAGGGCACGGGGACCGACGAGGACACCCTAATCAGCATCATCATCACCAGGGCGGAGGTAAGACACCCTGGACTCCAAAGGGGCGGCAGCAGTTTCTCTGCCTCCGCCCTGATGTCATCAACTAACAGTTCCTTCCAAAGGCCTATTTACAGAAAAAGGGAGCAGAGACAGCCCCTGCTTTCCTGGAATCTAGAAGACTGTGCTCTGCTTCAATCCATTTCTTTTTATAAAATGCAGTAATGATCCTTGCTGCTGTTTTTGTCATCTGTGGCTCCAGAGAGTTGGTGGCGCTGTGTACAGGGAACTCGCAGAGCCATTTGGAAGTAGCAGAGCTATGCCTGGCTGGCTCCATCTTAAGAAGACAAAACAGAGACACTGGGACAAGAAGCAGATGATCTCCCAACTCCTGAGCGGGTGTTTATTTAACTGAACATACAGTAGAAGCAAAATGTTATACCTGAAACAGGTCCACTTAACAGAATGTTCCTCAATCTTTTTTTTGCTGCCCCCTCCCCCGTAAGCCTTTCCAGACATACCCTTTTCTTGATGGCTACACACCAAGAAAACAGTTTAACGCCACAAATATTTGTTTATGTGTCATATGAATGATTTATTCCCAGGAACAGGGATGCACCTTTGTACAGTAAAAGATTAAGAGATTCTTAAGCCCCTAAAGACCACTCTTTGCCCCTGTCAGAGGAGGACACTTGTGTTTTAGCAAAAGGGAATGAGAGCCAGTAGCCTGCAGGCAGCTGCTGAGACACACAGTTAAGGCTCTGGGACACAGGACCACAGAGCAAGGGGAATAACAGAGAATGGCGTTTCTTCTGCCGTCAGAGAAGCCAGGCAAAGGAAGTGGAACTAAGCAGTTGAAAGCCACACACAGCTTCCCTCAGAAACAAAAAATTGCTAAATAAAGGAAGAAGAGTACCAACCCAAATTCTGACCCATTTTCAACAAATACTTAACATCTGATGCCGGTTTTAAATATAACTTTGCAGCAAGATGTTTCTTTCATTTTTATTTCTATTCCTGGACTCTCTCCTCTGCCCATTTCTCTTCTTCCACAACCCATTCTTTTGTTCTGTCTGAGTCTGTTTCTCTCTCCTCCCCCTCCCTCTGCAGCCTCTCTTCTCTCCAGGGGCTCTCACTCTTTCCTCACCGTGCCCTCTCCTTCCCCGTCCGCGCGCCTTCTGTCTGTCTCTCGGCAGTGCAACCCAGCCGAAGTCATGGAGGGTCTTGAGGGAATGGGGTTTCACAGCAGAGCAGGCCCAGGGCTCTGAAAGACCCCAGGGAGGTCAGACCCACCCAAGGGATTGTCACAGTTCCAAGTTTACTGCAACATGGACCAGGGCCTGCTCAGTTCTAAGATGCTCCGCATCTCAGTGTTGGCCACACATCTTGGTCATTTCCACATGTGGGCAGTTTCCTCAGAATGCTTCAGACCCAGGTAGATATTGTTTAGCCAGATCCCCAACCCCCCAAAGCCACAGGGCAGTAGCACAGAGTCCCACTGCCTCCTCCTGCACCCTCTCTCCCCTGGGCAAGGAGGAAGATCGGAGACCAAGAGGACGCCCAGGCGGGTACCCTCCGTCTGCCTCCAGTCTTCCCTCTCCTCCGCTCAGCATCCACTTCGAACAGTCCCTGTCTCCTCCACCTGTCCTTTCTCATTTTCTTTCTCTCTCAGTTCAGCCTCTAACTGGGGCAGGAGAAGACAGTCCAGATGCTGAGTCACAGTTTCTAGATCTGGAGTGCAGAGTAGGGTCTAAACCAAAGCAAAAAGAGAAAAAACTCCTGAGAGTTCTGTGCTTCTCTCGTGAGACTCATTTTGTTCAATTTGGAACTGCATCTTTTCTACACAAGAGCTACTTCCCTTATCATCTATAAAAAGTCTTCAGCAGAGCAATCTTTTATCTATTTTTCTCTTAAGTCCTAGCACTTGGATTTATCCTTGCCAATTGGGGTACAAGGAAAAGTTAGTCTCAAAGCTCTGTGTCCCCAACTTTCTTCACCTTCTATCAAGGACCAGCAAACTGTGGCCTGCAGGCCAAATAGGGCCCACTTGCTTTTGTACAGTCCTGTATCTAAGAACTATCCATTTTCAAATCATGTAAAAACTCAAAAGAAACATACTATTTTATAACAAGTAAAATTATATGATCTTCAAGTTTTGGTTTCCATAAATAAAATTTGAATGGAGTATACACACAGACACTTCTTCTGCTTTTGGAAGACCGAACTTAGTATTCCTTTTCTTATCCAAAAAAATGGAAATAATGCTAGTTCTACCTCACAGGTGGATTGAAGGCATAAATGAGATTAGGAAGTCTGCTGTTTACAGGGAACATACCATTAACATCCCCATCCCTCATGTTGCCGTCCTCCCTGCAGGTGGACCTTCAGGGGATCAAGGCCAAGTTCCAGGAGAAGTATCAGAAGTCTCTCTCTGACATGGTCAGCTCAGACACCTCTGGGGACTTCCGGAAACTACTAGTGGCCCTGTTACACTGAGCCCAGCCAGAGCAACAGGCACATGGAAAAACCACCTTTATGCAGAACACATTCCAAATCAAACTTGCAAATGCGAAGCCAGCACAAGAAACCCTTGGACCTTGTTTATTTTCTTGACAGCATAAGCAGTAAAACAAGGCCAAACCATTTAAATTCAAGTTGCATGGGCAGTTCATCTTGAATCCTGGCTTAGCAAGTATGTGGGATGACTCTTTTTTTTTTTTTTTTTTTTGTCCCAGGAGTTGAACTTAGCACCTTGCACTTGCCAGGCAGGTGCTTGTGTCACTGAGCTAAATCCCTGGCCCCCTTGGGATGGCTTTTAACCTTCCTTTAGCATAGTCACTGAATGCTTCCTAAGCACAAATAATATCAGCAGTTAATGAAAAACTATGGATTTGTAATAAAATGTTTAGAACAATATGCACTAGCATATGTATGGTCCAGGGAAAGATTAAATGGTTAAAGGAAAATAAAATTAACCAATTTGTTGATTTTCCCTCGGTGTGTTCAATTTCAAAGCCTCTATGGTAATTAAAGGTGCAGATTATGCCTCCAAACTGGCTTAATTAGTTTGGGTTCTTGCCCAGGAAATACAGGACTCAGGTGAAGTTCAAACATCGTTTGGGGAATGCAGTTACCTCTATTGACAATCACTAAGGACAGTAATAAAGGCTAGAGGTAAGGAAAGACTTGACTTGCCCATGTGAAATGTAACTAGAAATAAAATCCACTAATATGCTGCCTGGTTTAATTGAGTTTTCTTACTTCTCTAGACATTTGACTCGCTTCTCTCTCCCCCGATCTTCAAATACAGTTGGAGCAAATACAGTCCTGACAGGACTCAGGTCAACGGTCTGCCTCTCAAGTGGACTGGCACCAACAGAATCTCTGCTCCAAGATGCTGGTCTCCTAACCACATGGAGCTACACACAGAGGAACCTGTCACAAGAACTTGACACCTTGGTCCAGCAGTTCTATTTATCACTCACTGGTTGTGCCTGGCCCTGCTGAATAGCATAATTTTTTATTTAATCCCCTCCAGCTCTATGAGGTTGGTTTTATTCCCATTTATCAACTAAGGAAACAGATATTAAGTAACCTGGCTAAATTCATTTGTAAGCAACAGAATTAGGACTAGCATCCCCAGCTGGCAGATCCCAGAAATCACATGCTAATACCTTTCCTAGAAAAGTAACTCGAAATACATGGGAATGGGCCTGTGTATTGCTTCATCTACTTAATTCCCTACTATCTACTAATTGCGCTGAGGATATGAGGGAAAGCAGAACACGGACCACGTCTTGGTAGTTTATCCCCAAGCCAGAAAAGTAGCCTGATGTTTCCAAGACTCAACAGAATGCTCTGAGTGCACTCAGGAGAGCAGGTCTACCCATGAGCATCACAGAGGTACCTTCATGTTGAGTATTGGCCAATGCATAGAAGCTCTGAGGCCTGGAAGCATGGGTGGGCAGGATGTGTGCAGAAAGTGGTGAAACCTATTCTTTTAGAGCATAGATTTGAGACAAGGAGAAACGGAGCATCAGCAATGAGGCATGGAATATGTATTTGAATCCCATTAGCAATGGCTTTGGCTGTCAAGGGTGGACTTAGTTCTTTGGACAGTGCCAGTAACTGGAGGTGTCTAATTAAATGAGGGGCATGGTCAGATCTGGGCCTTGGGATATCACTTTGGTGGTGAGATTAGCATATAGCAAATAGCCTCAGCACTTAGTCTAATAATAGATGTCATATCCTAGGGTAACCTTTTAGGGGATATAAAGTGATGATTGCGACCACTTAAGAAGTTATGTTTACATTGATGTGTTACCTGCCTAACAATTATTGTCATCATTATGAGATTTTATGCATAAAAATTATTTTCTAGAGTCAAGCTCAGTGATAGAACAGACTCAGGTTTACTTATTTGTTCCAAATAAATCTTTCTGGTCTTTTCTTTTATAAACAGAAACAAAGCAACTGCTTCTTGGGATCGGAGCTCATGGCAAGGACAGGAAAACAAACTAGTGGGCTGGGAAGGAATCTGTTACAAACAGACATAATTTGAGAGTGTTGGAGGCCATGATCAGTACACAGAAGAGCAACAAGGTGGTTCAGATCAGAAGAAACAGGCTAAGCAAGATGCAGAAGCAAGGTCATTTGCTCAAGGTCACACCAGGGAAAGGCAAGGGTGAGACTCGACTCCAGTCCTCTGACCCTAATGCCGGAGGTCTTCACCATGCTGGCTCACATTTCCCAAGTGCCTTGTCCAGAACTGCCAAGCAAGGCATCCAGGTGGCTCTCTCTATGGCTGCTGAACACGGCTCAGCACTTATAAGCAGAAACCCATTTCTCTTCAACTACTGACAACTCCAGTCTCATTTGTCCCAGGAATGCCCCACCCGCCGTGCTCCTGGGGCAGCCTGGGAATTTCCTCCTTTTCCTTCTGCACATCTCCGCCCTGCCCCTCTTTTTCCCCCAAGTCCCCCAGTCACAAAGGTCTGAGCTTGCCTGGGAAAAGGAGGAAAAAAGGCAGATGACAAAAATAGAAGAGAGAGGGGAAAGCAATGCTCTTATCACCTGTTCCCCACACCATCCCTCCCTCCTAGGCCACTGGAGAAAGGCCAACTCCTGCTGCCCAGCTATGCAGGTAGTGGGAAGGACATGTGGCCCCACGCCAGGGATGTTCAGGGACAGCTTGCCCTGCGGTGCAGGTGCTAACTCAGCATGCATTTCCCACACAATTTCACTCCAGGCATGGCCTGGGCTCCCCTCTGCTGCTCACTCACATAAGTTGCCTGGGGCATTGTGGGCAAACGGCCACTGGAGAGCTGGCCTGGGAGAACTACTACAGAAACTAAAATGCAAAGGAGTACCCCCACCAACTGTGGGAGCTTCAGTCGCCTATCTCCAAATCCCCCCTGGCAACTCTGGGTGGGACAGTGTCCCAGGTGGTTCCCCTCATGCAGGCCTAAACCTAACATTTCTGGGTCACAGCCCATCTTCTCTGCTTCTTTTCCTTTTTCTGACTCTTCCTAAGGGGACCCACAAGGACAACCCAGTCCTCCTGGTCAGGTTCCCTCCCCACCCCTGTAGTAGACCTGGGGAGAGCCCTGCTCCCTTCCTGAAGCCATCAGGCCCTGTGGGCAGTGAATTCCATGGTCTCAGGGGCCCAGAGCAAGGTCTAGGAAATGGCGTCCACACTGTATGTGGTGTATCATTTGACCCCATCGAAGAAGCACAGAGAAAGCCCGGGGGAGGTACTCCAGCGGCCTGGGTGTGAGGTGGTTGCCCTCAGGAGCCCTTCTAGGTAGCACTGGCCATTTTCCTTCTTACTCTTCTCCACATTGTAACCTATGATTCTTCCCCTATCACAAGTCCAAGCCCAGCTCAGGTTGCTGAGACCCTACATGAGCTTAAATGACACCAGAGGGGCAAAGTACCCCTGTATACACACACATACACACACACGCACACACACACACACACACACACACACACACACACACACACATTTCCTTCTGCTGTAGAGCAACATAGCCTAACCTGGATTCTGGAGTGTGATGGAGCTCTGGCCCCTTCCTCACAAAGACTGAGGCCCAGCAAGTCCACAGGACTGAGGGTAGCCAGCTCCTCCCTGTTGCTGTTTCCCTCTTGCCATGGCCTTGACCTGAGAGCCTGCCAGTGCCAGCCAATGTGCTGGTCACCAGGGATTTACAGGTGAGACGTTCATGCCCCATCCTGTCCCCGTAGAGCCTCCAGTCTGGGAGGAAACAAACAATTTCCAAAGAACCAAACCTATCAGGAAAATAATCGGAGACTATGGAGCCATCCATGAAAGAAAGACACTGGATGCTATGGTGGTGCTGGACAGGGGCCGAAGGGAGGCAGAGAGGAGGTGCCACTTCCATGTGGCTGCCAGTGCAGTCTTGCTCAGCCTGGGGATGGGAGGAAGCACCTGACTGTGAGGCAGAGAAATTCTGGGCCACTGAGGACAGCTCAAGCCAAGGCAGGACGATGTAGGAAAGCACCAAGATGATGTAGGAACCCTGGCTGGTGCAACATGAGGGCAGGCAGAGCCAGGGTTGACCAGTATCTTAGTTACTTTTCTCATTGCTGAGGCAAAATATCTAACACCCACAAGTTAAAGAAGGAAAGGTTTATTGTAGTTTGCACAGGTTTGTACAGGTTTCAGTCCATAGTCAAGTGGCTCCATGGCAAGGCGGCATGGCAGAGAGGCACCAAAGAGGAGAAACAGTCCATAGCAGGTCAGATAGGAAGCAGCAACAGCAGCAGCAGCAGCAAGCAGCCTGCCTTTCCCATTTATCTCATCTAGGCTACAAGCCTTTTGAGTGGTGCTAGCCAAACCCAGAGTGGGCTTCTGTCTTCAGTGAATCCATTCAGCTGCACTCAGAACTATGTTAATTCTAATCAGTGAACTAATTTAGTATCTCACACCCTTAATCCCAGTATCACACACCCTAGATCCAGTCAGCTCCAAAAAGCCCCACCTATGAGTGCACAAGGTTTTGGGGGACATCTAGATACAAGTCCTAACAACCAAGTAGGCAGAGCCTGGATGGAGCAGGACCTCATAGGCTGTAAAAAAAACCATTCGGGTTTTATTCTACACAGGTTTTTAAGGTATCAAGCTATTCTTTTAAGGTATTAAGCTATTCTTCCCTAAGTGCCCCACATTCAGGATTCAAAGTTCCACTTTTTATCTACTACCCCATACTCCCCCTGGTTCCACAAACTGTGCTGAGCCTATATCCCCACCTGCATCTACCCTTCTTCTTCCCATGATGAGTTCTTTGAGGATTTTTAATCCTTTCCTACAAGGCAACATTAGCCAGGACTGTGTGACCCTATCAGTGAGTCTCTGGAAATTCTGAATTCCAGTGGATCACAGCTGGGACCTGGGGAGGGGTTGGTAAGTGTTTAACAATGGGCCTTCCACATTCAGGATCTGATTTGTAGCATTTGCCAACTCCCATGGTGAAAATACCCCCAAATGGCCACTTTCAAGATACTGACCTGCTGTGCTACACAGAGCAGTAGCACACTGTGTAGTGTTTCCACACATAGAAACAGTAGATGGAAATAATTTCAAAAGCCTAGGTAAAATGTAGCCAAAAATTACAAAGCAATGAAATTTGAGTTCTTATTACATTTGTTATCAGTACATGTGAGTTGTAAGTTTATATCATTTAATTTTTAACAACTATGTTGAGTAACTACTT